CCGGGACCCCCCAAACCGGGACCCCCCGACCCGGGACCCCGGCCCCGAACCGGCGCTGGGGCGGTTTTTGGGTGACATCAGCGCTTTTATGGCTCCGCGGAGACTTTTCTACCACAGCCACGATGGACGCATGGAGCACGACGGGGACACCGGCACCGGCACCGGGCACAGGTACCGGAACCGGCACCGGGCACAGGCACCGGAACCGGGCACAGGTACCGGACCCGGGCACAGGTACCGGCACCGGCACCGGAACCGGGCACAGGTACCGGCACCGGACCCGGGCACAGGTACCGGCACCGGCACCGGGCACAGGTACCGGAACCGGGCACAGGTACCGGCACCGGAACCGGGCACAGGCACCGGCACCGGCACCGGACCCGGGCACAGGTACCGGCACCGGCACCGGGCACAGGCACCGGACCCGGGCACAGGTACCGGCACCGGCACCGGCACCGGGCACAGGCACCGGACCCGGGCACAGGTACCGGCACCGGCACCGGCACTGGGCACAGGTACCGGACCCGGGCACAGGTACCGGCACCGGACCCGGGCACAGGTACCGGCACCGGCACCGGACCCGGGCACAGGCACCGGCACCGGCACCGGGGACAGGTACCGGCACCGGCACCGGGCACAGGTACCGGAACCAGGCACAGGTACCGGCACCGGGCACAGGTACTGGAACCGGGCACAGGTACTGGCACAGGTACCGGCACCGGGCACAGGCACCGGAACCGGGCACAGGTACCGGCCACCAGCACCGAAACCGGCACTGGGAGGTGACACCGGACACCGATACCGGACACCGACACCGGGGGGCGACACCGGGGGGCGGCACTGATACCGGGGGGCGATACCGGGAGGTGACACCGGACACCGGAACCGGACACCGATACCGGACACCGATACCGATACTGGACACCGACACCGGGGGCGACACCGGGAGGCGGCACCGGACACCGGAACTGGACACCGGAACCGGACACCGATACCGGACACCGATACCGGACACCGACACCGGGGGGCGACACCGGGGGCCGACACTGGGAGACGGCACCGGCACCGATACTGGACACTGGCACCGGGAGGTGGCACCGGCACCGATACCGGACACCGATACCGGACACCAACACCGGGAGGTGGCACCGGACACCGGAACCGGAACCGGACACCGATACCGGACACCAACACCGGGAGGTGGCACCGGCACCGATACCGGACACCAACACCGGGAGGTGGCACCGGACACCGGAACCGGACACCGATACCGAACACCAACACCGGGAGGTGGCACCGGCACCGGAACCGGACACCAACACCGGGAGGTGGCACCGGACACCGGAACCGGAACCGGACACCGATACCGGACACCAACACCGGGAGGTGGCACCGGACACCGGAACCGGACACCGACCGGGATGGGGAAGGGCCGGGGGGGACGGAACCTCCCCTCCCCTCCCCCCCCCCAAAAAAACCCCCAAAATCCCAGCTAGCCAATGAGGAGCCGCGACTCGCCCCCGCTCCCGATTTTGGGGTTTTTTTTGGGGGGAAATTCGGGGATTTCGTTTAATCGCTTTTCTCGTGGGGCGCGGGGCGAACCGGGGCAGTCCCGGGGGGTCCCGGGGGGGTCCCGGGGGTCCCGGGGGGTCCCGGGGGGGTCCCGGGGGTCTCGCCGGTGCCGCCGAACTCGTTGACGCGCGTGGGGTCCACGCGGTAGATCCAGCGCTGGTACAGGTAGATGAAGAACACCACGTCTGCCGGGAATTCGGGAGATTTGGGGGAAA